TACGCTTAGGCATCCAAGTTCACACCGACGCTTCCAAGCATGGGCTGGGAGCATTGCTATTACGAGAGGACGAAGACGAAAACTTCAGACCTGTAGTGTACTGAAGTCACTCCCTCAAAGGTTCCGAGTCCAACTATACACATCGACAGAGGTTGAAGCTCTTGCTGTCAAGTGGGCTCCGGATGAGCTTCACCTGTACCTCATGGGTCGTCAGTTTCAAGTTGTTACCGACCACCATGCTTTTTGCTAGGTGATGCGGTACAAAAAGGGGAACCAACGCTTACTGCGCTGGTCGCTCCTCCTCCAGGAGTTTGATTTCAAGGTCATCTACAAGTCAGGAACTCTGCACAGAGCGCCAGATTGCCTCTCCCGGACTCTGCAGTGAACACGGGAGCTAGGTGACAAAGTTTTCTGTGTCACATCTCCGGCCTTCCTGCAACGGGCTGAGGATCTTTAATGTGACCAACATGAGGATTCATACTGCAAGGACGTTTTCAGGCTTCTAAACAAAAATACTGGCACACATAAACAGCAGATGCGGGCACAGCACAAGTTCGTTGTTCATGACGGAGTCCTTTACAGGAGGGATCAAGGCCCCATCAATCAGCATTTCTTGGTCTGCCTTCCTGACTAGAACAGAGCCGAAGTTTTCGCAAATTCCACGGAGGAAAGTATGGCACACACACGGGCATCAGACGCACCTTCGAAGCTATTCGCACAAAATATTTCTGGCCCAAACACTTCATTTGGAGATGTCATCTGAGGCACCTCTTGGACTGCTGCAACCGATTAAAGTCTATTCCCCGTTTCACACAGTAGGGTTAGATATTGTTGGACCATTTAAGACATCTCGAGGCTACAAATACATCACTGTCACCATAGACTACCTAACAAAATTTGTTGAGGCCAAGCCTGTGCGGAACATTGAAGCGGTTACGGTACAGGAATTTATCGAGCGTCGAATCATTTTAAAGCACGGTTACCCAGCAGTGATTATCACTGATCATGGCACTCAGATGATGGCACGCTCGACATCGGCGTACCTTCAACACCGTGGCATCCAGCACTCGCCTATGACAGCGCACCATCTTGCTGCCAACGACCTCTGCGAACAGGCGAAGAAGAAGCTCAAGCAGATGATTAATTTGACAACAGCCGGAGGCGACAAGTGGGCTAACATCCTTCCCTACGTGGTCTTCTGCTATGATACCGGATTCCAGGACACCGTTTGTCAGTCACCTTTTTTCCTTGTCTACGGCCGTGACCCTGTGCCCTTGATGTCGTTTATGGCCGCCAGGGGGTCGCTGAACTACATGATGCATCGGACTATTCAGTCATTGTTCCCGAGAGACTGAACCAAGCTCGAAAACTGGCCGCCAAGCACATCAAGCACGCTCAACTAATACAAAAGAGCGACTTCGGAGGGGGATGCAAGCACATTACCTTTGAAAAGGGCCAGCTTGTGTTGTTAAAGACGCCACCCGTGGGGCTTGAGTCAACACGACGGTTCACTGGCACCCCCCGAATTGTGAGCCGACTCTCTCCTGTGAACTACGAGATTGAACTCATGGACGGTAATGGCCGCAAGTGGAGCACGTGGAGAAACTGAAGCCGTATCTTGCACCAACCGCTGAATTTGCACAGCCTTTACCCGAAGACTGAACTTTTGAAATTTATAGCATGTGCCCTTGTTTATAGGGTGTCTTCTCACTTGGCATCTTGTATGTACATATTTATTCACTCGCACGCATATCTCAGAGCGTGGTATTTGTTTAATGCTGTTTTGTCTTATAAAAGTGCAATGTCGAGTCGACAGTTTCTAAAACCCTGGCATGTGACGAGCCGCAAAAGATGACTCGTGCGGCTCATGTGCGCTCCGGTGATGCGTGTGCGAGCGCAACGAGAAGGAGATAAAAAAATAAAAAGGAGAAGGAAATTCTGCATGGAATCTCGGAGGTTGACGTTTCTTTCCAGAGTTCAGAGCCCATTTTCTCTTGACGACCACAGCGAATCGTCACATCGAGTATCTGAGGTTCCGTCAGCGGATGGACGACGCGTTTGCACAAATAGAGACGACAGTGGCCAAGATGCAGCGCAAGCAGGAAGAGTGGCATGATGCAAAATCCAGGGAACGGGAATTCCAGAGCGGCGACCAGGTCTTCATGCTTCTGCCATCAACAGAAAAAAAGTTGTACGCCGAGTCGAGAGGACCGTTCACGGTAGCGGAGAAGCTGTCTCCCGTCAATTATTTAATCGAAGAGGGAAGCAAGCGCAAGAAGCGAGAACGATACCACGTGAACATGTTGAAAAAGTATGTTGAACAAAGGAAGAATGAGGTGCAGGAGATGTCATCCTTGATGGATACGCCGCAGCATGTTGGCGACGTGGTCTTTGTGGGTGACAAGAAGGTGGTCCTCATGGATGTTGACCCATAGCTGCAGCCCCACGAAGCTCAGAAGTGAGAAATTTAATTCAGTCGTTCGACGACGTTTTTGATGACAAACCGGGTTGCACTTCAAGGGTGTAACACAGAAGACCTGCTAAACAAGGTCGCTTGCATTCAAATGCGGATGCCCTATACCGTATATAGGGGAGATGTTTGGGTGGTCGCGTAAGTAGCGAGAGGTTTCTTTTGGGGACCTTAATTGTGGCGGCAGCGATTATGAAATCAAATGTGTGAAGAAGAGACAGCGATCACAGTGTCCTAACTATGCATGGTATTTTCGTTTGATTTGTATCATTTGTACTTGTGATGTATAACGCTGACAATTGACATGATATTGTATGAGGGAAGTGATCAGCATTTGAGTCCAGTCGTGTCTCGTTAATATGAATCCCGTTAATATGGATACCCCCCGCTAATGAACATTACTTTCGGGGACGAACTCGGAAAATACTACATTCATTTTTGTCTCGTTAATATGGACGATTTTTTACAGGAACAGGAACAGAGGTGCCCATATCAACAAGACATCACTATATTGTACGTTGGTGCGTTGTTGCAAATCAGCAACGCACCAACGCAGGTTCTATCCTGGAGAGTTGTTGGTGTTTAATGTGAAAGGGTTTTTGCCACGCAATACAGTGCATTAGATTTGCTTTTGTTATGTTCGCGTTTGTCTTGTTAACATTTGAAGTCGAATTTTAAAGCTGGAGTTGTGAGTCCACATTGTGTAACCTTTGAAACAGAAGTTCAAACTGTATAACGAAGACAATCAGTTTTGCAGGCAGAGGCTTGTCAACCTCTCTGGTGGCGATTTGTTTTGATTTGTTGGGGTGTTTCATGAAACCGGGTGGCGCAGAAGGGCGCTCTCTAGAGTCGTGCACAGACCGTCAGGACCCGAACACAGCTGCCATGCAAGACCCAAGAGGGCCGTCCGGCAACTGGTTTTTGCGATGCCGTGTTTTCTCAGAAGTGGGCGAGACAACTTTAATTTCGCTGGATGGCACAGAATATGATGGAAACTCGAAAGCTTGAACTGATGGAATGGTGCCACAAGATGCCACACAGATTCCAAAGTTGCGTCTACAGGAGTCTAGCCGACATGATTATGGCCGACCAAATCTGGGTCTACCAGTACGGTCCTGGCACGAAGTGCTAGTCGTCTGTTTGCGTTTTCCTTGGGGAGACTCCACCTCTGAAGGTCGAGAGACCCAAAAGTATCAAAAAGAAAATGATGGCAGCCTTCTTCTCAAAAAGTGAACACGTGGTGACAGTTGCTCTGGAAACAAAAAGCACAATGACTGCACGACGGCACTCTACCGCTTGCCTGCTGGCAGTCCTTGAAACGTTCCAGGGGAGGCAACCAAGAACTGGTTTGAAAGAAATCCTGCTGCACCCTGACAATACGTCAGCCACTCTGTCAGCACAACACTCAACTTCCTGGAAGGCATTCCGGTGAAACTGATAAACCATTCACCCTACAGTTGAGACCTCAAACCACAAAACTCCTTCCTGTTCTCAATGTTGAAGAAAAAACTGCGCAGACAGCTATTTCAAGCCCGTGAAGATGCTGTTTTAGCTTACCAAAAGAGCTTTAATGCAGTGCATGATGTATAGTGATGACAGTTCATCCGGGACGAGTGCAGAAGAATAGGTCATTTTGTGCAAGAATATCTTCGATCAGTGACAAGTGTCTCAAAACTTTTCTGGTTGTTTTCATACAGGGGAACAAATTGTCCAAAGACAGCTGCTGCACCCAAGGCCGCTTTTAGGCTTAGGTACCAAGTGCAGCTGCTGCCAATGAGGAAACACTTGGATCTAAGCATTGAGAACAGCAAACCATGTTTCTTTTGGCTGAAGCAAGTCACTTGGCCCTTATTTTGGAGCTAATCCATTGAGAAATGAACTTTTTCCTCCAACTAGAAAGCTGGCTTGTGCATATGTAAAATCATGCCTGGAGTGTAGGTTGTAAAACAGAAAGAAAAGAAGGAAAAAGAAAGGGCATATGAGAAGAAGGCAAGTCGCTGCCCGCTGCCAGCTTGCATGATCAATGTGTTTCAATCTTGGCTCAATTAAAAGGGATGACAGAGAAGTGCTATAGTAATCAGAATTTGAGCTGTGAAACCCCGCAGCACTGCCTTGTTGTTTCATATCAATCCGCATAGCAGAAAGGCACACTGGGCAACAAGCATATGAGAGGACATTTAGCTGACTCAAACTGCACATAACCTTATTTTAAAACAGTTGCCACAGCCTCTGCAATCGACCCACAATATATATCCACAATATTCACTCGAGGTGTGTTTAGAATGTCAGTAACTCTAAATCGGTAGATATATATACTTGCAGTAAAGTCTGCAAAAAATTCAAGGGTTGGTTCTAGACTCTCCAACGTAATTACATTGCTGAAAGTGGATTCAACTGTAAAGAACATCACCTTAATGAAGCAATTGTCAATGTGTGTACTTATCTCAACATACTTCTCTTGTCAGCTTATTTACTCTAAAAATATAATGCCTCTATAAATATGAAACTCAGATTTGTGAAGAGCACTCACCAAATATGATTAGTAAGATGATGAGAACAACTAGAACCAACACAATTTTTACCTGGAAAAAACAGAAAATTCAAGCAGAGATTCAAATTAAAATGTTTTAGGTGCAGATGTTTTGTTGGGAAAAAAAAAAATGAAGCAAGGCCGCTCTCATATAAAACTCACCCTTATGTTACGCCACCACATGCGACTTGCCATTTTCTTTGAAGCTGACCGAAACTGGTCAGCATTTGTGGCTAATGCATCTGAAAAAGAAATATGCAATCAGTTTCATGGCATGCTGATCACAATGCTATAAACAACACACAAATTCTGGGAAGAAAAACTACAATTGAGATTGAGAAAAAAAAACTAAAAACTGCAGCTGACAAACCAAAGCCAAATGTGTCAATAAGTTATCTAAAGTTGGGTCAGCAACCTACAGGCCACACGCCAATCCCAGCATATAAAAAACTTATCCGGCTCACCATGATTAGCATGAAAGTGATCTCGCTTAGGTTAATATTAGCCTGCCTGCTGAATTTCATCTAGACTGAAGGAAATCACGAAGGGCAATAACGGCCAAAGATTCCCGTGTCCTGGCTTTGGAACGAAATAGATGTTCTCACAACATTTAATACAAAACAAATGCCTAGTCTCAGCAAGCCATACATCCAGTTATTAGGGCCAAATAGATTTTGACGAGAAACGTAGCAATTGTCCCAAAAAAAACTATTGCAATAACCAGAAGGCCCATTCTAGCCCATGCATCACTGCACAAATTAACACATTTCACAGCTCTACAACAAGATGGTAAAAAAAAGTTCCAGTGAAAGGGCAAGCTCATATGACTGTGAATTTTTTGTGCGATACTTATATAGGTTACACTTACCCTTATATACTTCCCATAAACCCAACTGATGCAAGATGTCTGGTATGTATGCATCTCATTCCTTAACAGCTAGATTACCCAAAAAACCTAATGGCAAAACAGACACATACGGTCGAAACGGTTTCACACAAACACAAGGTACATTCTGCATCAGTCGGCTATGCGAAGTTTCGAGACAAGTAATAATTTTTCTTCTATTTCCTACACTTGCTGTGTAGGAAATAAAAAGTCATACGTCAGTGGTGCTACATTGACGTATGACAAGCCACCACGGCCCATGATTGCCTACGTCAGGTGCTGTGGTCTCCAAAGTCATCACTAACAACAAGTGACATGATGATGTAATTTGTGTGACTACGAGTCACGTGGTACCACCGTTGTTGCCACAACTGGTCACATAGTTATGAAACCATGTTAACACATGATGTCACGTGACCTTGTGAAATAATGTCCCATGACACCGCAGCTCCACCTTGCCTTCTCGTAGCTTATGGGATCACATCACCTATAGTGAGTATATAATCACTTTACCTATAATGCTTAGATAATCAATTGACCTATAATGCTTAGATAATTAAGTGACCTATAGTGAGTAGGTAATCATGTGACTTAGTGATTACATGATAATGTAACCAATAATGAATAGTTGATCCTATTACACTATCAGATGACTGATAGTGAATATGGCATCACATGCTAATATTTATTATCTAATCACATAAATTATAGTGGTAATGTGATGAAGTATCAGGTGTGACCAAAAGTAAGTTCCGTTTAGAGATAAGAAAGTAAGGCAACATTGTTTGTGAAATGTTTTATTTTCAGTAAGTTCTGCATACCTTATTCTAGGATTAGACGTAATCCCATTCAATGTTAATTTTAGGCCCCTGTCACGCCGTGGGACAAGATTTTTAGATATCGTCCTCGTAGAAGTCTGCACCCGAGACTAAGTATACATATAGTTGCCGACAGATTTTTCAGACGCCAACATTTCGGACATGCTCAAATATTCTAACGTTTTCACGGGACCGTCTCTCACCCCATAAATTTAACATATAAAACTGATCGAAATTCTAGGTGCCAAACTGCTCAATGCTCGATGTTTCATACATAATTTGCGTAGTTTCAGTCAGAACAACCCCCACAAGCTTTAATCACCACCATCTTGGTTGTTTTGGTTTTGACGCATAGCCTTGATACCACGTCCTATGCAATAAAGAAGCTGGACTGAGGCTAAAATTGCATATTCCGGTTCTGCTGTGGCCAGCATGGCCGCCATCTGACCATTCTCCTCATTCCTCCGATTCTTTTCGTGTTTGTCTCTTTCGAGTGTAACCGCGAGAAGAATGGCAGCCTGTCATTTTTTTACCTGTTCTTTGGGCGCGAGTGTTCTTTGCCGATAGGCTTAGTAGTGAAGCAACCTTAGTCAGCTGAACGTCTCCAAACTGTGCCAAATAGGGATGCCGCGAAATTTTTTTGAACCGAAGGTTCGATGATCAAATCAAGCGGTTCGAAATGTTCGAAAGATTTCGAATTTTCAAACTTTCCAGATCAAGAAATTCGACGAAAGTCGAATTTTCTAACTTGTTAAACTAAGAAGTTTGACTCTTTTAAAAATTTTGAACTTATTACGCAGCGAAATTCGATGCTTGTCAAACTTTCAAACTTGATAGACTAAAACATTTGATGATTTTCGAACTTTCAAACTTCTTGCACTAAAAAGTTTGAAGCTTTTCGAACTTTCGAACTTCCTATGCTAAGAAATTCAATAATTTTCTAACTTATTAATCTAAAGTATTCGAAAAATGTCGAACTTTCAATTCCTGAAAAGTCAACCGGTAAAAGTTCGAAATTCATAGAACTTCGAAAGACCGGCGGGCGGTTTCCTTTCAATTCAAGCAGTGAGGCACATTCGTAACTTTTTTTTTTTTTCACATTTTTACATGCGGTGTTGCATTCCTTGCGAAAGACAATGCATTTATTTCAATCATCTGGCATGCTCGGTTTAAAGAAATAAATTCCCGAAGGAGCGAGGAAGGACAACGGATTTTCGATGATTGTCGTCTGTGCCATATTTGAAGCACGCTATGGCCGAAGCTATTTATGCTAGAGATGTTAAACTTTTTAAGAATAATCTTTGTATAGCCTAGGTAAGAGTCGTCTTAAAGGGATGGTGAACTGAAACTTGGATTTCAGAAAAAAACAATGCAGGAGATGTAGGCGGGACGCTGCAATCCCTACAACACTACTCGTAAGGCGATATCTCGAATAGACGGCCATATTTTTGGAAAAAGAGGTCAAGATTGAACCAGGCCGACGAGGCGCGTGACGTGAAGATACCTAGTTTCCTCCTCTCTTCGCTTTGCTCCCTCAAGACGATGAGCAATGCAGACGACGAAGTCAAGTTGCGGGGCGCGTTTGTCGTGCATATTGATAGATGGCGTCGGGGACCAGCCCCGTAAGGTGCAGCTGACCATTGAAAGAAAGAAGACGACACACAGACGAAATCTGTTGGCAGCAAAAACGCCGTCGTTAAGCAGACACATTGTTTTTACTTTAGTTTTTGTTTTATTGTCCGCATTTTAGGAGATTACGTTCATTTATATAAACCACAGTGGTCGCAAGCCATCTCGATAAGGAGGTAGAGCCATCTATCAATAGGAGCACCAAATGTGCCCCGTAACTCGACTTGGTTGTCTGCGTCGCCGCCCGCCGTTGACCTTGGCAAGTTTATTGACCCTATTTTTTACAGAAAGGGAGCTACGCTTTCTAATTTTCCAAAAAGAAAACCGACCTGTGAAATGCACCTTTGACGAAATGTTTAGATTGCTATGTGCAGGCGTCGATTTCTACAGTCAATTTTAGATCGAGCCTGGTGACTTGGGACACCCTATACTTTACTAGGGTTATCAGAATTTCTAATACATGTCGCATTTACTTGAGTAATGGAAAGCTTACAAACAAAGCCTGAACATCTATTCTCCCATAGAGCACACACACAGCCAATCACTGTGATTAGGAGACAAAAATAACATCCTCACACAAAAAGGATACTTGTGCAAATCATATTTTTGTGAAGTATTGGTTCCAAGGCCTTGTGGTTTGTTACATTTCCTATCTAGAAAACAATGATTGGCCGATTGGATGCTCTGCGGGGAAATAGACGCATGTGCCACGTTCATAAACAGTGCATCAATCATACACAAGTAAATATGGCAAACAGGATGTATGGCAAGGAATTTTAACTTTTGTGCCAGTGACTGACAACACTGAACAGCCTCTAAGTAATAGTTACTAGCAAACCCTACGAATGTTGCCCAAAACACAAATCTGCAAAAGCTCTAATGAAAAGCAGGCACTAGTTCAGTTCCGACAAAAACTTGAGATTACAAAATGCAGCATCTTCCTGACCTGATTTGTCCTCGAGATCTTCTAACCGGTCGCCTCTTTCTATGATCTTTTCAATGTTGCCCTTCATGATGTTGGAGACCTCATCCACTTGGAATTGAACTCTATCAGAAAAGAGGAGGACAAGACGCTCATGAGTATTTGCACACACGAGTATTTCCACAGAAACGAAGGCAACCGAAGTGAAGCATTTACTGAGTAAAATCCTACATGCTCTGATGGCCAACATTGTGCAGACAAAAGCAGAATTTCCGTTCTCTTTTCGCCTGCTTCAAACTGCAGCTTCACACTTAGGAGGATATCACAGTATAATTATAGTTCCGATTCAAGATAGCATATACTAAGTAGCATATAATAATTCCATTACAAGAATAATCTATCCGTTTAATTTTCGTGTCATAACCCCTTTAATGAACGAACTGGTGAAGCCCTATCTCAAGGGCAAGCCGACCTCACGATGCCAAGAGAAATGCTTACACATTTAAAATAATGCCTGTAAAGGATTTCTATTTCTTCTGTCGGTTCAAATCGCCCATGCGGCCGAACCTAAACTTGTATTTCGTTTTGGGGGAAAATCTCCCAAGCCCCTGCATAGGCTGGCAAGCTATTCTAAAGCAGCTACACATCGTCGTTTGGAACTTTGTCTAAGTGCAGATAAGGATTAACATTGACATTGTCCGATGCGCTTCGAACATAGTCCTCAGGGCACCTTTGAAGAAAACAATGAATAACCTGCAAATAAACTTTTCTAGCCATGTTCAAGTGATTTCACTGTACAAACTACCTGTGACCACCGCAAGTGCCACTACCCTTGCATAGGCAGTGTTCTGGGCACCTAATCCAGCTTATTACCCAATTTCAACGAGACCTCAGGTGGCAAATGTCTGCTTGAACAAAAAAAAAACCTGTACGGTAGTTAAAAGTTCCACGCAGTGCCCATTCGGAGCCCTGAAAGCAACGAGCCTGGGATTTTTAGAGCTGCTTCCAATGTGTCCTTCCATGCAGCATGAACATCTTGTTTGGGCATTTACCACGCACCAGTAACTTTCGTTCTGCATTGCAATAAAATTACAGAAGAAAAAAGTGCAAGAACGAGCTTCGGGCCTCTGCCAGGCACACGAGCTTGTTCAGCGCATTCGTCGTTCAGGTCAACATGCTCGTGCTTGTAGCTTCGTCATCACCCCCACACCCCCACATAATGCGAAAAAAGTATAGTACAAGTAATATTTACAGGGCAGGGCACAGGTGCGTGAGCCTAGATCTGCCACATGATCTTGTTGGCACGAGATTTCGTGCCGAAAAGGTACTTCCCGAGGTCGCATGCTCGCGACCGTGCTTTGTCAGCACTGCAGTGGTCCGTGCGATGAGATACAGACCCCAGAGCTCGCGCTGCTTGTAACCGGAAGCAGAAAAAGCTACGTCTAGAAAATGCACTTCATAGACCCTTGAATATACCATAATGTCCCGCAAGATGCCCTATACCTCGAGGGATAACCCACCCATATTTTCAGCTTTATTTGCTATTCCTTTTTAAACACCGAAAGATAGCCTACTACATTTTGTAATCGTAGTGTTGGGATCAATGATGGCCTTGGCATCATAAACGTGGCTAGTTCTCTATGGCAGACGATAAGCGAACATTGCTGACTGGGAAGTACGGCCATCTTTGCTTCACTGTCCCTCGCCACGATAGCAAGTCTGACAGAAAAAACGTAATCTAAAAAATAGCTTTTTTTTTTTTTAACTTTTCTTGATTGTACACCGAAATATAGCTCACTCCTTATTTTTACCCGATTTGCTCGATTGCAGGTGGGCTATTTCTTGGGATATTACGGTAAGTGAACCGCACTACCGGAAGCAGTGAATTCCTCGTGGCGAAGCAATACAGCGCTGCCCGGACCCACTGATCACAGCCATGTGGAGTTTAGAGAGCACGATTGCGGGATGGCGGCACTGCGCAAATCCGAAAAAATGGTGTTCAGCAGATGCAATATTTTACCCGAGCACAAACTTTCTTAATTAAGTATGTGTAGCAGAGCGCATTCGATAAACTATAGTTCCTGAATTAATTTCGTAACGACAATGCATCAAGAAATTCTATTAGCAGATATAGATACACAAAGACATTTTTCGCTGCAATGCGGTACTAAAATTTGTACACAGTATTTATCTTTTAATTTAATTTATGGGACACTTGAAAGAAGACGCTAAAGAAATTGACTTTTCTTTCACAATTTGAGGCCTCATAAAAACAATAATGAATGCAAAATCTGAAAATGTTATTCCACAAAGCTGTTAATTATTTTATTACCTTTGGAATACAGTCACTCCGATCAATAAGGAGCAAAACGTTGAGATTGCAAATGCATGGGCCCTCCTACTGTGATATCCTCTTAAACGCACAACAATCCAGCAAAGTTTACTCCCAATTCAAATCCTAACTTATTGAATTTGCATTCGTTGAAGTGTGCCAAAACCGGTGTCACGAAGGCACGTACAGTGGGCACATGGAATGTATTTAGTGCAACATTGTGTGTAGGAAAATTGCTATCTCCATTTTTTTATTTTTTTTTCATTTGAGAATCAAGGGGTTATCATTAAAACCATTTTGTTGGAAAGATGACATTTTGGGGAACAAACCTATGAAGTAAATCTTAATTCCTGCCGATACCCTCTGGAAGTAATATGTGCTAACAGTACCGAGCAGTGTAGTACATGTCGGGTAGGGCAGAAGGCTTGTTTTTTCTATGAAAGCTAGTTTTTCTATGGAGGGCTGTTTTATGAAAGGCTTGCTTAATGGGTGCACGCAATCAAGTGAAGTGCCTACATCTCAAGTTATATAAGACATTACAGCATCTGCCATTTATATCGGCATGCTCTAGACATTGGTCAATATTTCTAGGAGGTGCTAATGGTTCCATTGTTTAGAAGAATGCACACCTCGCACTGCAACTGTGATGAGCAATAGTTTGGGCTTACATAGTTATTACAAATTCATTAGATAATCAGGGAAGCCATAAGTAAGATGTATTTGGTGTCAGTAAGTAGTATAAATGAAGCACGACACTTATGAGGCCAAGCTATTACTGTACATATAAACTTTGGTTTGGCTCATGTTTTAGTATGGATGCACCATTTAACATCTACACACGTCCGTCTTCTTTACCACAAGAAGAGAAACCTGGAAAAGTTCTAACACTACCTGCACTTTGTTTGCAGAATGTACTTCTTACGTGTTCTGATAGAACCTCATATTCAAACAAGCCTGAAAACATTACAGAAAAGACAGATAAATAACTACCTGAAATTTATTTTTATCTAGTGGTAATAAGGAGCTTGTAAACAACAAAAAGAGAAGTTCTATCAAGCTGCTCTACTTTAGAGCTAAAGCTTCTATAATAGCAAAACAACAAAACCACAGTAAATACGAAATATTACACATTCGAGTTCTTCCCTAAATGAACAAAAGTCAAATGTAACATGCCTACAAGCTGATACTATTAAGAATGTCACAATTTCAGACTTTGTTCCATAAAAAAAACTGCTGAGCTGCACCCATGTCAGAATAAGTGCCCACACCCCCCACTTTTGAAACATTTGAGATATAAGCAAAGGACATATCAAGCACCCACCCCAGCAATCCACTGAGCACACCGAGCTAGCCAAGGTGTTCCTCTAAATCAGCAGTGTCTCCATGAAAGCGGTGGAGCTTTACATATGTTTGCCGGTGCGAAGCGGTGAAGCTTGATGCAAGAGTGCCGGCATGAAGCAGGCTAGATGAGAGTGGCATAGCCTTTCTAAAAATTAGGGGTTCTGCCAGATACCATTTCATCAGATCAAAGAAGGGCCTGCCCTAGCCCAACAGTCAAATGCCTTTATAACGCACGTCTGTGCTACAGAAATGCTGTTTAACGAAGTAAAATAAAGTCCCGGGCAGCTTCCTACGTGTTCAATGTGTTTCTCTGACTACTACAACGAAGTTCTGCTTAACAAATATTTCTGTTTAATCAAAGCAATTTTTGTGGCACCATAAAGCAAAAATGATTGGTATTATGAATTTTCGAAGTGAAAAGTAATTGATTTCACATAAATTGTCACTCTCAAGTAACATGCGTAGAGAAGAGAAATACTGTGGCAGCGGCAACAGTTTCAACCACAGCGCATTCTCGGTTTTGGGTTTACATATTGTGTTAGTGTGTAACCTTGTGTCTGGATGGTGCCACTTGACTACCTTGCTGCATAGAAAGCCTGTACGCAGCAATGTAGTCACTTAAGGCCCGTTCACACGATGCATTTTTCTCGCGCATCTAGTGTCGCGAAACGTAGTTTCGCGAAATGGTTGCGCCATCTGAACAAGTCCGAAAAGGACGCACGCATCTAAAAAAAAGTTGCGCGCACACCTCGCTTCTGGAGCGAGCTTTTGCTGAAACTTTGCCGAGTCCTGTCAATCACTCTGAGGGCGCCGCCAATGGCCGCTCAGAAACGCTCTCACGTGGCCTTTGAGGGGGGAGCGAGCTGTTTGAGAAGACCACCTCACTGCCGGTGTTGTAGCCGAGCCAAACCCGAAAAAAAAAACGAAACCACGAACGATGGATACTGCCGGCGCTTCTGCAAGCACGTCAAGCACCACTGAAGGACAGACAGGAAAAAGAGCTCAGTCAGCTCGGTTGTGTACCTCTCCCCATACCTCACTGTGCCGCACGCTGCAGCGGCCACGTGTCGAGTGTGTGGGCTATTCTGCCATATGCTGCCGCGCCCGCTCCTACGCCGTCTAGGGACAATAGATGTAATCCGAGAGCAGCACAGCCGCTTCGAGAGACTCTTCCAAATGACATCTGGCAGCACAAACCGCCGCCCGATTGTTGATTTAGGAAAGCTCACACTTACACATTCGGCCAACGCCTTCGCTGCGTCATCGGGGGTTGATGTTGGTGGTTTAGGGATTGTTGGAATTCATATTTTGATAAGTCGGTTATGTTTGCTGTGTGGAAGCTTGGACAGCGGGAAATTATTCCGCAGCATTAGGCACCTGGTGTCTCGGCTGTGAATGACAAACTTTGCCAGTGGCGGTACTGGCGGTACGACCGCTAGCCTGGTGTCTTTA